TCGCCCTTGATAATGGTCGCACTTGATAATGGTCGCACTTGATAATGGTCGCACTTGATAATGGTCGCACTTGATAATGGTCGCACTTGATAATGGTCGCACTTGATAATGGTCGCACTTGATAATGGTCGCCCTTGATAATGGTCGCACTTGATAATGGTCGCACTTGATAATGGTCGCACTTGATAATGGTCGCACTTGATAATGGTCGCACTTGATAATGGTCGCCCTTGATAATGGTCGCACTTGATAATGGTCGCCCTTGATAATGGCCGCACTTGATAATAGTCGCCCTTGATAATGGTCACACTTGATAATGGTCGCACTTGATAATGGTCGCCCTTGATAATGGTCGCACTTGATAATGGTCGCCCTTGATAATGGTCGCACTTGATAATGGTCGCCCTTGATAATGGTCGCACTTGATAATGGTCGCACTTGATAATGGCCGCACTTGATAATGGCCGCACTTGATAATGGTCGCACTTGATAATGGCCGCACTTGATAATGGTCGCCCTTGATAATGGCCGCACTTGATAATGGCCGCACTTGATAATGGTCGCCCTTGATAATGGCCGCACTTGATAATGGCCGCACTTGATAACGGTCGCACTTGATAACGGTCGCACTTGATAACGGTCGCACTTGATAATGGCCGCACTTGATAACGGTCGCACTTGATAATGGCCGCACTTGATAACGGTCGCACTTGATAATGGCCGCACTTGATAACGGTCGCACTTGATAATGGCCGCACTTGATAACAGTCGCACTTGATAACGGTCGCACTTGATAACGGTCGCACTTGATAACGGTCGCACTTGATAACGGTCGCACTTGATAACGGTCGCACTTGATAACGGTCCAGGACGGACCGAAACATGGCCACTGCTCCACCTTGTAGTGTGTGGTCTGGTCATCAGGTCTCCGTACTCTAGACGGGAGCCAACTTGTGCTTCACGTAAGACTTTCCAGCCCCGGCTGTCAAGAAGGTGGGAGATACGTCCTATTGGGGTGTAAGTTTCCTAGGAGCCTTTTGGGCCAGGTTATGCTCATGGCTCTTAGTGTCACTGAAGAGTCGAACTTCACTCCCAAAACGTCAGCTTTATCTCTCTCTCTCTCTCTCTCTCTCTCTCTCTCTCTCTCTCTCTCTCTCTCTCTCTCTCTCTCTCTCTCTCTCTCTCTCTCTCTCTCTCTCTCTCTCTCTCTCTCTCTCTCTCTCTCTCTCTCTCTCTCTCTCTCTCTCTCTCTCTCTCTCTCTCTCTCTCTCTCTCTCTCTCTCTCTCTCTCTCTCTCTCTCTCTCTCTCTCTCTCTCTCTCTCTCTCTCTCTCTCTCAGCTATGAGCTAGCAACTGTAGCCTGGAGGTCAGTATACTTCATGCACCTCTGCTCTACCAAACACCGTAATATCAGGGCTCCTGTAGATAATGCAAAGTTTACAAGGTACTGAAATTTTCAGAGCATTTTTTTTCAAACGCCAGAAACTTTGTACATAAAAATTAGAGCTTTTGGGATCCCCGAAAGTCCTTGAAAATCATGGATATGATAGCAGGCCGCCTGGCATCCGGTTTGGACAAGTCCTCGAAATTTTTCATCTGTGGGTTGAAGAGTCGCGCTCTTGTAAGCTGTGTGCTGGAGAGGCATGTTGGCCCTGGATGGTGTGTACGTGGAACAAGCAGAGGTGTGTGTGTGTGTGTGTGTGTGTGTGTACGCCAGGCTGTCCGTAGCGTGTGTGTGGGTACGGCAGGATATCTGAAGCGTGTGTGTGGGTACGGCAGGATATCTGAAGCGTGTGTGTGGGTACGGCAGGATATCTGAAGCGTGTGTGTGGGTACGGCAGGATATCTGAAGCGTGTGTGTGGGTACGGCAGGATATCTGAAGCGTGTGTGTGGGTACGGCAGGATATCTGAAGCGTGTGTGTGGGTACGGCAGGATATCTGAAGCGTGTGTGTGTGGGTACGGCAGGTTATCTGAAGCGTGTGTGTGGGTACGGCAGGATATCTGAAGCGTGTGTGTGGGTACGGCAGGTTATCTGAAGCGTGTGTGTGGGTACGGCAGGTTATCTGAAGCGTGTGTGTGGGTACGGCAGGATATCTGAAGCGTGTGTGTGGGTACGGCAGGTTATCTGAAGCGTGTGTGTGGGTACGGCAGGATATCTGAAGCGTGTGTGTGGGTACGGCAGGTTATCTGAAGCGTGTGTGTGGGTACGGTAGGTTATCTAAAGCGTGTGTGTGGGTACGGCAGGATATCTGAAGCGTGTGTGTGGGTACGGCAGGATATCTGATGCGTGTGTGTAGGCACGCCAGACCTACTCGTAGTATATATAGGTACGCCAGACCTACTCGTCGCTTTTCTGCGTATTTTAAACGTTTAAAGTTTGAGGGTTGACTAGGCCTCCTTGCAGCGTTGGTAGAGTCCAAGTGGCCGCGTGTTCTGCTTCCTACTGACTAGCCTAACCTCACGGAGTCCAAATACCCAACTTTGCATTACAAAAATGC